TAATAATAATAATAATAATAATAATAATAATAATAATAATAATAATAATAGGACTAAATCACAAATGTACTGTTTGATTCAAGACAATTACTGCCTTGGAAAAGAAACTGTTTCTCAATCTATTAGTCCTCATTTTAAGACAGCTATAACGCCTCCCTGATGGTAACAGATCAAAATATGAATGTCCAGGATGAGAACGGTCTGTGAAGATTTTTAGTGTTTTAGAGAGGAGTCTGGTCTTCACAATCTCTTTCAAAGAAGAAAGTGAGTAACTGATGATTTTTTATGCTGTGTTTATAACTCTCTGGAGCATCTTCTTATCCACTGCAGAGCATCCAGCATACCACACGTTACACAGTATGCCAAAATGCTCTCGATGGTAGACTGGTAAAAAGTAACCAGCAACTTCTCACCCAGACCACTCTTTTTCAGCAGCCTCAGAAAGTGCAGGCGCTGTTGGGCCTTCTTTGCAGTGGCCATAGTGTGGATTGACCAAGTAAGGTTGTTGGAAATATGACTTCCTAGAAATTTAAAACTATGAACTCTTTCCACACAGTTTCCATTGATATATAGTGGGAGTGGCTCTGTTTTGCATCTTCTGAAGTCTATAATCAATTATTTGGTCTTTTTGATGTTCAGGGTGAGGTTATGACTCTTCCATCACAAGACCAGTCTGAGAACCTCTGACCTATAGGCTGTCTTGTCTCCTCCTGATAGGAGTTCCACCAGCTTGATGTCATCTGCAAATTTTATTATAGAGTTAGTGGGACAAGAGGGAGTGCGGTTGTAGGTGTAGAGTGAATACAAAAGGGGATTCAGCACACATCCCTGTGGAGAGCCAGTGCTGAGACCAAGAGTGGAGGAAAAGTAGCTGTATCTTCAAAAGTTGGAGCAGTACCCTCCAAAACCTGGAAGTAAATTGACACCAGTCCATTCCTCTGTAATGAAAGAAATTATCCAAAACATATCTGAGTAGACTCCCTTGCCTTTGGGAAACCCTAGCAATGTGCCATTTTGGTGAAAAGGTCCACCATCATCAACATGGATGTATAACCCTGCACTGCAGTCAAGACTGTTATTAAGCCAATTGACATTGAAAGCCAAAGCTGGGAAGAGGGACTATAGCTAGGGATTATAAAGTCTGTTGGCTTGCAATAGAATAGAAGAATAGAATAGAGGAATGGAATGGAATGGAATCAATGGTGGGATTCAAAATTTATCACCACTGGTTCTGTGGGCATGGCTTAGTGGGCGTGGCTTGGTGGGGGTCATGTGACTGAATGGGCATAGCCAACTCGATGTCACTTATGGCAAGGTGGGGCAATACCTTGCTGTGACATTGAGTTGGCCATGCCCACTCAGTCACATGACCAATGCTGCAGAGACAGGGTGATTTCCTACATACCTCCACCCCCACTGCCCTTGGGCTGACAAATTAAAAAGCCCTTCTAAAGATTGTGACTGCCTGCTGAGCCTGCCTGCAGAATGTTGACAAAAGGAGGCTTGGGGAGGGGAGGTGGAGAGAAGGCCAAGAAGGGAAAAGAGAAGCGGGGGGGGGAGCACAAAGCCTATCCGGCTCCTCACTCCTGTAAGTCCCATCTGGAAAGTGCAGCAGCAGATACAGAATTCAACCTGGCTGCTTCTCTCCTCCTTCTCGGCTTCGTACACTGAGCAAACACACATACATCTCACAGTGCCAGAGGACTCACCCACGTGCCATCTCCTTGCATCATTCAACCTGGCTGCTTCTCTCCTTCTTCTCAGCCTCATACACACAGAGCAAATAAACACACACACATCTCACAGCACCAGGATTGGGACCTTCTGTGTCGGCACATGGGAGAGCAAGAAGCCAGCAGCGTCCACTTTTTTTCAGCATTAAAAGCCTGTAGCCGCCGCTTTTTGCCAGCCAGAACTGAGCTGGAAGTGGCAGCTGGAGGTTGTCACACTGGCAAAGAGGCGGTGGCTGCAGGCATTTCCTGACAAGTGGAGTTAGATGCGGGCTGGCAGGGAGCCCAGTGGTGATGTCTCAGCCCTGGCTTGTCTTCCCCTTTGCCATCAGCTGTGAGAGAAAGGTAAGGTCATGGGGTGAAGAGGCGGTCATGGAGGAGGAAGTGGGGAGACTGAGTAAGGGCCAGGGCCTCTGAAGGAAAACGAGGTGACGTATGGTGAAGAGCGAGCAGGCAGCATGCAGGAGGATGCCCCAGGAAGGCCAGAGCCAGGGACTGCCATGTCCCCTGGCCCCAACCTGGCTGAGACAAATGGCAATCAGGCAGAGGCTCTGGTACAATGCCAGAGCCAGGGAATGGTGATCCCCAGGCCCCGACCCGAGGCAAAGGGCTAGTAGGCTGCAGCAAGTTACCTTTGGTGAGCAAAGCAGCCAAGGCACGGAGGTGAGGCACAGAGACTACCTGGCAGCGTAAAGGCAAGATATATAGGGCGAGGGGGGGCAGGGCCAGCACTCTCTTAGAACCAATCAAGGTGGTGTGATTGGTTCTATGAGAGCACGCTTCACACAGCGCAGCTCTCAAAGACCGGCCTCAGTGTCAGCGCTGGTGAGGTGAGTAGTTTTTTAGCTCAGCTGAGAAGGCAATCTGCCCTGCCACATGAATCACCTGTGCTAATAAACAACAGAATATAGGAGAGGTGAGAGGGCCCCCACTTTTCCCTATCGGTTCTATGAATCACTTAAAATTTTCCTTGGAGGTTCGCCCAAACCCTGAATACCACTCATGAATGGAATGGAATGGAGTGAGAATTGAATGGAGTCGAGTGGAATGGAGTGGAGTAGACATATAGCTCCAAGCCAGACATGTTACACTCAAGGCTAACCGCAATGTGGTTAGATCTGGCCTGGTCTGGAATTAGTGAGGGGCAAGCCCCACTGGCCTTGGCCTCAGCGTAGCACTCACAGGAGGCGGCAAGTGTTCAGGGGCTGTGGTGCCTGGCAGCAGCTACAGCTTGTTGGCCTCAACTCGCCAAACCCTGCCTGGCCTTGCAGAAGTTATCACAGGGGGACAGGGAGGCGCTAAGCAACTTATAGCAGTGGCACCATGCAGGAACTATAGCAGACAGGTGGGGGTTGGCAGCACCAGACAAAATATGCCAAGCCATTGATGCCACATTTGGGGATCTGTGTGGCACACATACTGCTGAGGGTTAGCAAAGCTGTAGGCAGGACAGGCTTTGGCCCAATTTTCTAACCAGAAACAATTTGGAGCCTTCATTTAGATCCCCCTACCTGCACCCCTGCAATATGATTCGGCAGTGTGTGTAAGTGGTGAAGGGGAGGGGGATTAATTGAAAAATTCGGAGATTGTCATACCCTCAGAATCAGGTTATAACTCCCCTTTTCCAGATAGATAGTAACATTTAAAAGTCACTAAGCAACTGGCCACTTATTACCTGTATAAAAAAACTATTACAAAGTCGTTACAGATTTGGAAATGAAAATGTGGTCACACAATCTCTTCTTTCTTTTTGATGTTACAGGTCATCCCTTTGACATAGTCCCTCCCGTCACATCTACTGTTTGTGATGTTTTTTGCTCTGTTATCTTTGGGAATCAATTGCCTTATGAAGGCAAAACCTTCTCTGAACTATCGGAAATCTCAGACACATTCTCTGGATTCTTTGCAAGTCATCTAGGAATGGTATGTTGACTATATGTTCTTCTGCAAGCAGAGATTTCTTCTTATCAGTGATTCTTGCCAGTTATCGAATACATTGAGGGATGGTGGCCCAGTGATTAGAATGCAATATTGCAATCTGCTGACTGTCAGAGTTTGATTAACACCAGTTCAAGGTTGACTCAGCCTTCCATCCTTTCAAGGTCAGTAAAACAAGGACCCAGATTTTTTTGGGGGGGGCGGGGGGAGGCAATATGCTAAGAAGGCTGTAAAGCACTGTGAAACAGTATATAAGCCCAATACTATTTTTATAATGCTTCAGCCCTGCTTTTTCTGAGCCAACTATTCTACTACCCATTTTAGAATGGCATTCATAAATAATTACTTTTTAAGTCCGCCAAAATTACTCTACTTTCATTCTACTGTGTTTCTCCAACAATACAGACCCTCTCATAGGAAGGCCCAGCATGTTTTCTAGGCATAAGGTGAAACTAAGCCACTCGCCCAAAATTTAGGCCTATTTAAACCATGCTTTCCCCACCATTTCTCACATCGCTTGAACTATATGAGATGAAGAGAAATGGGGGGAAGGGAACTTGCCATTAGGAGCCCCTTGCAGGTCACCTTGGCTAGAGCACCCATGGGTAGACTCGCCTCTATCGGCCAATAGAAGTGCCCCGCGGGCAGAATTGCCTTGCCATAAGGCCACTTCTATTGGCCGGTAGAAGCTCCCCGTTGGCAGAGTCACCAGCCGCTTCTATCAGCCGATAGAAGTGGCCTTGTGGCAAGGCGCAGCTGCGCCCGTGGGGTGCTCCTAACAGGAATGCCCCATGGGCAGCCACGCCTTGCCACGAGGCTGCTTCTATCGACCAACAGAAGCGCCTTGAGGGCAGAGTCACCAGCCACTTCTATTGGCTGATAGGAGTGGCCTCGTGAACCGCCCTGCAGGCAGCCACACCTCGCCACGAGGCCTCTTCTATCGGCCAATAGAAGCGCCCCAAGGGCAGAGTCACCAGCCACTTCTATTGGCCAATAGAAGTGGCCTCATTGAGCGCCCCGCGGGCAGCCACACCTTGCCACAAGGCTGCTTCTATCAGTCGATAGAAGTGCCCCGAGGACAGAGTCACCAGCCACTTCTATCAGCCAATAGAAGTGGCCTCGTGGCGAGGCATGGCTATGCATTGGGTTCCCAACTGCAAACTCAATCACGTATGTGTACCATTGTCAGAGTAAATATCAGACGATCACAAGGGAGAGCTGAAGCCAGACTCAACCACCTGTCAGTGGTCAGGCTGCAAGAAAAACTTCGAGAAGAAGGTAGAAGAAAGACGGGCTGTTTAGCTCGCAGTTTTACGGTCAGCAATCTTCACTTTCCCCCTTGAAGCATACCTCCCCCCTCAAAGATGCTAGTGGATGACAAGGGGAACAAAGATCCCCCCCGACTTCCCTTTGAAACCAATTGAGCAATTGAGAAAACTGCAAGTTCTCTTAGTTGGCAGCCTAAGCGGAGGGGCCTGGAACTGCCCATTGCAGGTGATAGGTGGAATCAGCTTCTTTAGCCGATAGAAGCGGCTGGTGACTCTGCCTTTGGGGCACTTCTATTGGCCAATAGAAGCAGCCTCGTGGCGAGGTGAGTGTGTGTGTCGCTCTAGGTGGAGGGGTGCGTGGGGAGAGAAAATCAAGTCACCCCCCAAAAGATGGCCTAGCCATTTTTTCGGTGCTCAAAAAAAAAAAAAAAAAGACCCGGCCTTATTTTGTGAGAAACACGGTACTATTTCTCATAGTAGCAACTGAGGATATACATAAACAAAGAGGGGTGGGAAAACATAACTAGATAAGCTTAGTGTCCATAACATACATATTTTGATATTCATTTGGTCAGGAGGCACTGCAGAAAATCAATAACTGGTCTTGCATAATGTTTATTTTTAACAAATAGAAATAAAAGGGCACTTAATAGAGAAATGGGTTTTTCTGTGTAGTTCTTAAAGCAGAGCACATGAGATGAATTGGCAATGGTTAATTTTTACTATTACTATGTTTCAGGTGTACAGCGCTTTGCCAAATATATTGAAATTCTTTCCCGGACCTCATAAGAAAGTTTTCTCTGACTGTAACAAGGTCTGTGACTTCATTAGGAATAATGTGGATGCTCACAAGAAGACCCTGGATCCAGACAATCCTAGAGACTTTATTGATTGCTTCCTTCTTAAACTAGAAAAGGTACTATAGCAAGGATATTTTATTTGCAATGATAGTTCACACACAAGTACAAAACAGGCAGGGTTTCAGTTATGCACTTGTGCCCTATTTTCTTGAGACACCCATGGTGGTGAGTAAATTGTACTAGTGAAACAGTAGAAAGCAAAAGAACTGATGTCTCCCAACTGCCACAAATGCTATATGAAGCCTTCTACCAGTAGTGGCCATTATAAACAAACAAACTCACTCCTTAAGAAATGGTTGTGTGGATCTGCTCCACAATGTCCTTTCCAGCACTGAAGGAGGCACCATAGATCACATCTGCATCCTGTCAGGAGTTGGTAAAGCCAGCTTGGTAGTAGGTAAAGCTGCAGAACAGATAAAAGTTATCTTTTGGGGGGCTGAGAGTCCTGAAGATAATGATTTGGATGTGCTCGCTAAAATGATTTGAGCCAGGACAAAAACTGAGTGAGATTTAATTGCCTTAAAATAAATTAAATAATTACCAATCCATTCAATCTTTTGCACTTAAACTATAATTCAGTGGCAACTTTTGAAAAAGATTTCAGGGGCTACAATGGCAGTTGAATGGCAGTTTTAGATACTGTTTTTTTTTTAGTTTAGTTTTGTATCAAAATTAGGAGAAGATTGAAACTTCTCAAGGATTGCAGTCTCCTATTTCAATCCTGTAATCCTCTAGTCCACTTCAAAACACACAAAATAACAGCCACGAAATCAGTAGTATGATTCTGGAACTTCTTGCATTGAGTTCTTTTCTAAAATGTGGAAATGGGAGAATGATTCTATGAAAGGACTCCTACTCATTTTTATATTCTTAAAAATGGAGGAGAGGATTACAAATATCCCTGTCCTTGTTGGACAGTCCCTGGAAAAATTCCTGTGTTCCTTCTACAGGCAAAGGAGGCCTGTGTTCCAACACAGGAAAATTACCCATCTGTTATTTATGTTCTTGGATACTTGGCAGTATCAAAAAAAAAAAAAATGCAATACTGTGCTGGGTTGTTAGACTGTAGTCAGCAAAACATTCAGGGAATGAGTAAAATGGATGCTGTTGAGTTATGAGAGAGCAAATTCCCCTTTGAACATTAAGTGGAGCAAAGCCTTGTGGCTCTTACTTATGCAGAACTTAAAAGAAATATGAAAGGGGACATCAGTGAACAAAAGTTTATAAATGAAATGTAATACTTCAGAGCAAGATTTCAAAAGCTCAGTTTGTGTGATGGAGATGGATGTTCTATTCCATTAAGAGGAGATAAGAGGAAATTTCTGTGTTATGATAGTTACCAAACTAGTAAGTTTCTGGAAAAGACTTGATGATAGGACAGAAAAAGTAATAACTACTTCATTTGGATTTCAGCTGTTTCTCTTTTATTTAAATATTCATCCATCTGACCCAACCACACATTAACTTCATATTCAAATTAATATAGACAATATGGAAAACTCTATCTTAGATTATTCCCTGCTTACCTATAAGTTGGTCTGAAAGAAAAGTAAAATGAGAAGAACTAGGTAGAATTTTCATAACATGATGATGAAGCTATATAAACTGCTGCATCTTTATTTTATTTCTGCCTTATCTTACAGGAAGAAGATTCTTCAGTTCTCTCTATTGAAGACTTGGTTATGTCTGTGTTTGTGCTTTTTATTGCTGGGACAGATAGCACACGGTTATTCATCTCATATGGCCTTAACCTTCTAGCCAGGTTCCCAAATGTCCAAGGTTGTAACATATGATTTTATATACTATGCTTAAGTCCAATCTTAGTCAGTTTAGCTAAAGGTTGTCTAAGCCTAGAATCTAAAGTCTGGTGGTGTGGGGTATTCTGTTGCAAACAGAGGAATGTCATACTCTTCTGGTAAAATACTCTGGACTTGCTCAATTGTATTTATGTCTGATATACAGTGCAGATTCCAGACAGCAGAGCTAAATTCAAGTATTGGTCTGGCAAAGGTTTTGAATGCCCTAGTTTGCAAATTAGTATTAACAGAGGAGAAGCTTCGTAAAATTAAATTTACAACTCTTAAAGCCTTTTTGGCAATACAGTTGCAGTGAGCTTTGGCGCTTAGGTCATTCGATATGAGAACTCCAAGGTCCTTGACGAAGTGAGGGTCATCAACAAGGTCAAATCCACCTAGCTTGTATTTGGTATATAGATTTTTTTTTACCAATGTGTTGGGCAGAGCATTTGTTGGTAGAGATTTGGAGTTGCCAATTGTTAGACCATTCAGACACATAGTCAAGGTCTTTTTGAAGGACGGTAGCATTGATGGTGGTGTTGAATAGTTTTACATCATCAGTGAAGAGGACACAGTTGTTAATAAGGTGATCACAAAGATCATTTATATAGAGTATAAAGAGTATGGATCCTAGAACGCTCCCTTGGGGGACACCGCTGATAACTGGTGCAGGGTTTGATAGCGTTTCCTATTTTTACTATTTGTTGCCTGTTTGAGAGGAAGGCAGTAATCCGCTTGTGAAGGGATCCGGAAATGTCATAAGAATTTAATTTTAATAGCAGTTATCACTGAGTCAAATGCTTTGCAGAAGTCAATGTAAATTACATCTATTGCTTTACCCTGGTCAAAAAGTGTAGTCCATATGTTTTTGTAGTGTAGAAGTTGCAAATTGCAGGACAATTTTTTTCTGAAACCAAATTGTTTATTGGAGAGTAAGTTGTTTCACTCTAGGTAATGCATTGGTTAATAATTGATTCCATAAGTTTGCATGTGACACAACACAATGAGATTGGTCTGTAGTTTTCAACCAGGCAGGGGTCACCTTTTTTGAAAATAGGGATGACCGTTGCTAAAGACCATAGGTTTGGTAAGGAGCTGGTTCTGAATGATCACTCATATATTATATTTAGGGATTCTGCTATGGTAGTGGAGAGCTTTAAGAAGAATGCACATAAACCATCAAGGCCAATAGATAAGGATGGTTTAAGGTGGCGTATTGCATTTTCTATGTTATCTTCAGTAAAGTCAATTTGTAGATCATTGCAGTTAGTTGTCATACAATTAGGAAATGTGGAGCATGAGCCATTACTGTTTACAAAGACTGAACTGAAGAACGTATTGAAGAGATTTGCCTTAATGGCTTCATCACTATAGTCTTTCCCATTAGATCTTTTAGGGGTGGGATGGTTTTTGAGTCTTTAAGTTTGGTGTTTACAAAGTTATAGAAGGCACAGATGGATCTTGTGCATAGAAGATTTTCCTCTTGTGGTAATAGGTGCATTCTGCCTTTATCTGTCAGCATAAGGTGTTGTATCGCTTTTTAAAGTTAGCTGCATATTTAGTTTTGTTTTTACGCCATAAGGATTTTCTTTTTAGATTGAAGTTTTCTTATTATTATGGGTAAATTGTTTTTTTTTTGTTGTTGTTGTTTATGGGGGTTACTAATGGAACATATAGTTTAATGACTCTTTCAAGTTCAAGCAAGAAGGTACTATAATGTTCTTCTGTAGTGTTACAGCCAAAGAACAGAATGTACAAATCAAGAGATGATAAGTCAGCAGCTATGAGTTCATAATTGGCTTTTTTAAAATTGTATTTTGGAGATCCATCATTATAATCCTCTTTGAGAGGGTGTAAATTTAGACAAAAGTCAATTATGCTTATGGTCACTGTTTGAAAGTGGCTCCTGTATTTGTACGCCATAAATTGAGTTTGAGCTGTTGCAGAAGATGAAGTCAAGGCAGTTGTTTAGTCTAGTTTTGTTATATACTAATTGATCCAGTCCCAGTGTAGTAACGGCATTCTACAGGGTTGTATGAATGGGTTCAGATTCATTTAGTGTCCAATTTATAAGAGGTAAGTTGAGATTACCAAGAAAAAAAAGAGGGTGTAGGCAAGAGGCAGCCCATGTCAGTAGTGAAGTTAGCTTGTTTGCATGAATTATATCATAGTCAGGGGCTTGATAGCAAATTAAGAAATGGATTGAGGTTCACAGATGATGGTCTCAGGAAGAGCAAGCTCTTGTATAATTTGAATCTTTTTTAGATTTAGAGACTTTTTATAGAATATAGCAACTCTACCTCCTCTACGGATTTCGTGATCAGACCGATAAACTTGATATTCTCTTACAGTGGTAATGGAGTCTGAAAAATATGCATTCAACCACGTCTCACAGACAAATATAATGTTGAATGTGGCTGTGCTTAATAGGATGAGGAATTCATGCATTTTATTTGCTAGGCTTCTTGCACTGAGTAGTTTTCTTTTAAGATATGAAGTAGTGGGTCTGGATTAGACGTCACCAACCTTTTGGACCTTAGGGACCACCAAAGTCATAATTTTAAATCCCATGGACCACTAATATGAATTTTGACTAATGGTGGTTTGCTGACATTTTCCCAGGGGCTCTGCAGAAAGCAGCAGACACCCTGGGAAAATCCCCCCAAAAGTCTACAGGAAAATTCCCCACCCCGTTTTCCTACCGATTGATCATTCTTTATTTGAGATCACAGGATACCCTCTCCAGCTCCATTCTCAGGGGGGAAGAGAGAGAGGGAGACTTTTGGCTTCATGCAAGGAAAGCAGAAGCAGCAGAAGTCTTTCTTTCTCTCCCCCAAACTCTGCTAGAAATTAATCTTTGCTGGCACAGCCTCTTGGAGCAGGATGCTTTGCAGGGTCCCAAAGACTCATTTCTAGTGGAGTTTGGGGGGAGAGAAAGAAAGTCTTTTGCTGCTTTCCTTGCACGCAGCCAAAAGCAGAAGAGGAGGAAAGAAGCAGCCCGATGGCCAGGCCAGGCACGTGGGGCAAGTGAGGCAAGCTCCCACCCTCTGCCCTTTCCCCTGTCCCCCCACTACCTCATGTTGTTCGCAATGCAAGCAATGCAAGCCTTGTGTTCCCCTGGTCCATGTGGGCAGTGCAACCTTGTGTTCCAGTGCAGCCTGGATTAATTGCTTTGTGGGGGAGTTTTCTCTGTGTACCACCACAATTTTCTCATGGACCACCAGTGGTCCCCGGCCCACTGGTTAGCGACCACTGGTCTGGAGTAAGTAAGGGGCATGCATCCCTAACATTGGATGTTTGGATGATTATTATTGTGACGTGGGTTGTGGCTCTTGCTTTTGATACAATCTGCATGGTAATCAATGCATAGATTAGTATTACCTAATTAATGTAGTCTTTTGAGCTCAGAATGTTGTTCCCGGGATTGTACACATTGCTGTAAGGTTAGATCAGGGTGAGAATGAAGGTTTATTTGGTTGTTGTTGCTCTTTGAGAGTGAATTTATTGAGAAGATGAATTTGCGTTTGCTTGATGCGTTTTTGCAAACGACCCTGCAGAGGTGTGCAGTCATCAAGCTGTCTTTGTTTTTAAGTGCAGGACCGACATGGGAAATATCAAGTATTTCATCAGGGGAGATGGTTGATGCTTGATATTCTCTGATGGTGTTAATTGTTACCAGATTCCTCAGTGCTTTTTTACAGAAGTGTATCTGCCTTGAACACAGCCCATATTAAACACCAGTACAGGAAATGTTTTATAGCGTTTTGTAGTATATCACAAAACAGTTTTATAACAATGTTTAATTCATGCTATGGTTTATAAAATTTGCCTAATTTCAATTCCACAGGTGTCATGGATCATAGATGATTGGTTTTAACAATCTTTGAAAATGCATGCCATTTTAAAATACAGATAGTCCTCCTAACAACCATTCATTCAGCAACCATTTAAAGTTACAACACCATTGAACAAGTGATAATACAAATAGTCTTAAAAGTTCTAGCTGTCCCAGCAACTCTGTGACCATATGGTCATGTTCTGAGCACTTGGCAACCAGCTCGCAGTTCCAACAGTGCAGTGTCCGTTGGTCATGTGATCAGTGGTGGGATTAAAAAAAAATTACTACCAGTTCTGTGGGCGTGGCTTGCTTAGTGGGCATGGCTTGGTGGGCATGGCAGGGGAAGGATACTGCAAAATCTTCATTCCCACCCCACTCCTGCTTTCCAGCTCCATTCTCCTATGCAGGGCAACAAAAAGAAGACCCAGCTGATCAGCTGGGACTCAGGAGGCAGAGAATAGATGGAAACAGGGACAGTCAGAAGTGGTATTTGCTGGTTCTCCAAACTACTCCAAAATTCTGTTACTGCTTCTCCAGAATTGGTCAGAACCTGCTGAATAACATTTCTGCATGTGATCACTATTTGCAATCTTCCCTGCTGACTTTCCACAAGCAAAGTTGATGAGGAAACTGAAAGGGAAGGTTGGAAGTCACTCCAGTAAATCTCTCTCCCCTGTTGGCAGAAACCACTCCAGGCCTTGTCATGCTTCCACCTCACCAGCTTCCCCTTACCACACAGCAGCTGCACAGCTATGCCATTACATTGCCACATACTATTTTCCCATCTGGCTATATCCCCACTGTACTTGCAAAGTGCCTCTCTGGCCTCTAGGAATTATATATTCTCCCTCTGCCGCCGCCGCTGCTTTCGCCCCTCTCTTAAACCCTGCCAGCTTCCAGGTGTCCTGTTTGCAGTCCTTCCCAAGGACACCCCCCTGCCCCATTACCTGTCTATCTGGAGCACCTGAGCCTGGCTTCTTGAGTCCTTTGGGAGTGTAAAACCGCATCCAGCCAGCCACTCCTTTGTCTGAAGGGAAGATTCCTGGTTCCTTGTGTTGCCATGTTTTTTTCTCTCCAATGGACGGTGGAGGAATCAAGAGTTTCATGTATTTGTGATGTGGGTTCCTGTCACAAAATTGGAGGTTTTGGCAAGGTTCTTGTATTTTATGTTGGCCCATTGCAGGCTGATAAATATAATAGTTGGGGTAGAGAGGTTGTTGAGAGAAAGAGAAATTGTCATATAATGGCAAAATAGTTCTATTTTATTATACTGGCTGGAGAGTAGCTTCTGATAATAAAGAAATGCAAAACAGTAAATGTTTCCCCCTCCTAATCAAGGTGACAGTATTTAATACCTGAGGCAATAAGCAGTAGAAATTCAACAATACAGAATGAACCATTTTAATGTGACTCTGTTGATACTTAGAGAGAGACAATTTTGCCTGTTAGCAGAGAGAAGCAGCCGGAGTCACTCTCATCTCTTGAGAGCCCGGCCAAACTTTCCTGTGCCACCATCAGTCAAAATTCAAATTAGTGGTCCACAGCAGGGGTCGCCAACCTTTTGGACCTCATGGACCACCAAACTCATAATTTTAAATCCTGTGGACCAGGAATGAATGGAGCACTGGATCGAGCGCTTCTCTGGCTGGCGCACTTTAGTTACAGGTGCAGGCAGAAATAGCATCCTCAGGGCCACGCCACTGGAACAATGCTGGCACTTCAGGGATGAGACCCCTCCCCCAACCTCCATTAGCAAGGTGAATAACGTTGTGCTCTCTTTTGCACAGGAGTTTGGCCAAGCTTTCTGCAAAATGGTCTGTCTTGAGGAGCGCTTGATAGTTTGTAGTAGTCACAAGACTCTCCCTTTGGTCATCCCGGAGCAGCTCATCCATGGCAGGCCGGTGCACAGGCCAGTCCTGTGACTACTGCAACTCTGGAACATGGGACCAACTTTCTCACCAACGTCAGCAAGCCACCCGGGGGCAGATTTCCCTCCCCTGCCGTTACTCTTACCTTATCTTCCAGTTCCAGCTCATGTGGGGCATTCCTCTGAGGCCCACCTGTGGGCTGTGGCCCACCAGTTGGCGATGGCTGGTCCACAGGATTTAAAATTATGAGTTTGGTGGTCCCTGAGTTCCAAAAGATTGGCGACCCGATCTAGTAATCAATAGGTTAACTGATTGGATGGAATGACTGAATTTTTGAAGCATCCACCACCTTGGATCACATTCTGTATGGAATTGGCGGTGGATTTACCCAAACTAAATGAACAGTGGTACTGAATGGCCTGTTTAGCTTAAGGGCACATCGTGGGCCAATGTATTTTATGTTGATCTGTTTTTTTCCCCAATTCCAGGATGGGAGCAAAGTGTGGCAAACATCTTTGTGAATGACCCCAAAGTGCTGTGAAATTGGGAAATGAGAAACTAAAGTGCATTTTTTATTATCCATTAAAGATCAATGCATTTTGAGTCTGGGATAATTTTTAAATTAATATTTCTGCTTTTAAAACATGATTAATTGCAGCCAAAGCCCAAGAAGAAATAGATGATGTTGTGGGGGCAAACCGTAGTCCCTCCATAGAGGATAGAATGAAACTGCCCTACATCAATGCATTTGTTCATGAGATCCTACGTTCTCCTCAAGCAAGCAATGAGAACTTCCCACGTATGACAACCCAGGATATGAATTTCAGGGGACATTTCATCCCTCAGGTGTGAAAAATCAAATCATGATCCACCTTGCATGTAAATATCTATCTATAATTGCAGTACGATAAACTTTATCCAATAATTGCTGCTTATATTTTGTGACTATCATTTGAATTTTAGGCTATTGGGTTTTATAGAATGCTTTATTTATTTGCAAATGTCATCAACAATTTTACCTATCTCTCATCCTGCTAAGTTTCATTGATAGCTATTATGGTTCTTAGCTAAGTTAATTCTTTTTTATTTGCATCACTGACCTGAGGATATTTAGTAAGAAAATGAGCACTTTGTTCAACTTTTATTCCTAATTGTTGAAAAACTCTGTTTATACAGCCTCTGTTTATAGAACAAACCAAATGTACAGTCCACATGGGTCTTTCTGCTTAACAGTAGCAGGAAAAAGGAAATTCTACTCAAAACAAAAGGACAGAGTATAACCTTATAAAACAAATGCAAACTTATAAAACCTGCCATCTACTGGTTGGCTGTAGTTGTTGCATAAAATATATGAACATGTATTCCAACACCCCCACTCAACCACTACTCCTTATATTAGTCCCATTTTGGATCTCAGTTCTATAAATCTCTTTCTTGTAAATGGTTTTGTCAAAGCATCTTCAATCATGCTATTAATTTCACAAGACATAAGCACAATTACATTTTGATCAACCTGATCATTAATGTAATGATGTCAGACATCAATTGGCTTTGTTCTTGCATTGATATTCTCATTAGTTGGCAGGTTTGATACATCCTTGATTGTCCTCATATAAGTCTGTAGACTGGGACAGTGGCTCTCCAAGATCTTCAAGCAATTGACATAACCACACAACTTCTTGACTGGCATAGGCAGCAGCAATGTATTCTGCCTCTGTAGAAGACAAAGCTACTGAGGTCTGCTTCTTGCTGGACAAAGATGTAGGACTATTTCCTAATTTGAACAAGTAACCACTTGTGGATTTGTGAGTACCTAGGTCACCTGACCAATCAGAGTCCCTATCCTGTGAGATTCAAATCACAAATTGCAGACAGCTTCAGACTCATGTCCTATGTTTGCTTGAAATATCTCATGACTCTTTTGACTGATGTCCAGTGTCTTTGATGTGGTTCACTCACACCATCTTTTTTACACTGTATGTTAATTCCTAGGTAATATGTCACATCTCCAAGATCTTTACTCTCAAAATGCAGTTTAAGCACTGCAGTCAACTTTGCAATTTTCTCATTTCTTTTGTGAACAACAATCAGGTCAATCTATATAGAGTAAAATATACATGTATTCAAAATCTACACATTTTGAGTATAGATATGGGTCAGCTCTGCTTCACATGAATCTGTCATCTAACAAGACTTTATTTATTTTCACATTCCATGCTTGAGCTGATTGCTTGAGTGTGTAAGATATTTCTGCAGATGGTGATTTGAACCTTATAAGATATGTGGACTCTGATTGGGCAGTACTCACATATCCACAACTAGTTACTTGTTTACATTAGGAAACAGTCCTATATCTTGGCCCAGCAAGAAGCAGACCTCTGTAGCTTTGTCTTCTACAAAGGCAAAATACATTGCTGCTGCCTATGTCAGTCAAGAAGTTGTATGGTTACATCAATTGCTTGAAGATCTTGGAGAGCCAATGTCCCAGCTTATATTCTTAGCCTAACTTCATTCATACATTTCCATATACCTTTCCTTATTAGCAGCATCTTCATTTTGAATTCCAAGACTGGTAGTTCTGGTTTGTCAGATTTGCAAATGAAAGTTTTGTTGCAATTGTGTTACTGGTCATTTTCTTTTATTCTGTTGCAGTCTTCTTTCTGTTCTGTATCTTGCACTTATTTGCTGTATCTTGCTTATTTGCTATGACTAGGCCCAGAACCTGTTAAAAATTCTGTTTATATAGCCTTACAGAACAAAGTGTACAGTCTAGATGGGCCTTCCTGCTTATCTATGACAGGAAACAGGAAACTCTATGCAGAACAAAAGGACATAGAGCAAGGGTGTCAAACTCGCATTATCATGGCAGCATCAGGTAACGTATAGGACTTTTCCCCCTTCACTAAACTGGGCAGGGGCGTGACCAACACGTGATGCATCCAGCCCATGGGCTGCAAGTTTGACACACTTGACATAGAGTATAGCCATAAATGCAAATATATAAACACTGCCATCTATTGGTTGGCTGCAGTTGTTGTATAGAATATATGAACATGTATTCCAACAATGTTGGAAATCTTTCCCCTGAATGCAAATAGTGGAAAAGTAGGAGAATCAAATATGTTTTTTTTAATTTACATTTGCTTTTCATCAATCATAAAACAAAGCCAGTTTGGTCTAGTGGTTAAGGCACCCAGCTAGAAACTGGGAGACAGTGAGTTCTCGTCCCCATTTGGACATGGAGCTAGCTGGGTGATATTGGGCTGGTTACTTTCTCTCAGCCCTATTAAGGAGGCAATGGCAAGCCACTTCTGACAAACCTTGCCAAGAATGCTGCAGGGATTTGTTGACTCTTTTTGATTTCTAATTAAATGTGTTTGGGTAACTATACAATGATTTGTAACTGTTGTGTGCTATCATTTTTACTGTGATTATAAAAAATGGCATGTTCTTAGATAACTACAGTTATAATCTAAACATATAAGGAAATAGCAATAGCACACTTCAGCTGAAGCAAAATGGATCTCTCCATTATCTGTGACATCATGAAATTTTTAAAAAGTTACAATGCACAGACAAGTTGAACTAGAATTTCAGCTAGGAAATTGTAGATTTCTTATATCAAGAATGGAACAGAATTCCTAGAAGTTTGGTGCTCTGAAAAATGAGCCATCAGCAGATATATATAGTAATAAACTTAATTTATAAATCATCACATACACCAAAATGCCTGCAAGAAAAATACAAGTTGAAAGGAAAGTCTGTCAGAAAATTGTGAAGGACACATACGGCATTATCAGTGAGCAACTGGACAGGTAGTCCTTGACTTATGATCACAATTGAACCCAACAGTTTATATTGCTAAATGAGATGTTTTAAAGTGAATTTTGCCCTAATTTATGATCTCTCTTGCCACAGTTGTTAAATGAATCACTGCTTCTTGTGGTATTATTAAATCATTGTTTAGTTATTGGCGTTCTTGTTAAGTGAATCTGGTTTTCCCATTGATCTGGTTTCCCATTTGCTTGTCATAAAATCTCAAAAAGTGATCACATGACCCTGGGACACTGAAACCATCATAAATATGAATCAGTTGCCTCTGAATTTTGATCATGTGACCATGGGGATGCTGCAACAGTTATGTGAAAAACATTCATACATAACTCTCTTTTTTCAGTGCTAATGTAATTTTGAAGACTTACTAAATGAATTATTGTAAGTCAAGAACTGCTTCTGAGGAACTAAGTAGTCAGCCATTGTCTCTGTCCAAGTCTTCTGTTTTGGTCTGGGATGTTTTAATGCCCCAATCTCATTCTGGATATAGAATACCATATAGACACATGTTAAAGCCTCTCAAGTCAAATGATGCTAATGTACCAAAGCAATACAATATTAACACAATTAGGCGGCATTTCTAAAATAACTCAAAATAAGGCTTTTCTTCATCTGGAAAAGAAGGAGTAAGCTGTTGAATAAATAACTTTAAAATATTCAAGTGTCTCTAATACTGTCACTCCAATTTTTTGTGACTAGATTTGTTTCGCTAACTTAAACAACAGTGTAACTTCAGAATTTAGGATCTATCTTGAATTTCACTTGTCATCCAAAAGTTGTAAATTTTAATTATATAAATTAGGATGAAGATAGTTTACACTGATGAAACATTAGCATGCAAATCAGTCTTGTTATGCTATACATTTCAAATAACATAATTTGTGTAAAGTCTTTAATCACGTGACTTGATCAAGCACCAGATGTGAAAAAATATTGTAAATTGTATCAAAATTACATTTTATACCTTCCTCATTTTTAAAAGAATTAAGAATGGTCTGTTTCATTATGAGGAAAAACTTACCTTTGCTCTCCATATCTCGTCTTCATAAAGGGCACTGCTGTTCTTCCATTAAGAGTTTCAGTACATTTTGATCCTCTCTGCTGGGAAGATCCAGAGACATTTGACCCAAGTCATTTCTTGGATGAGAAGGGTAAATTCCAAAAGAAGGATGCCTACATCCCTTTCTCTGCAGGTAACAGAGAGGTTATGGCTGATTTAGTGACCTGGGGTTTTCAGTAGGGGTGGTATTCTACTGGTTCGGGCCAGTTTGGGTGAACTGATGTTAAAGTTTCACCGAACCAGTATTTCAACCAACTGCCTGGCCCCACCCCACCCAACCCCTTCCAGGAGTGTCCATGTGGCCCATTCTCGATGGAGGTAAGTGCAGGGTCCGTGTGGAGGCTCTGGGAGGGGGAAAAACAGGCCTTCTGGAAGTCTGGAAACAGGCCTGTTTCTGGCTTCCAGAGAGCCTCCAAAGCCCAGGAGAAGTTGTTTTTGCCCCCCAAGAGGACCGGGGGAGGTCTCCAGATGCTTGGGAGGGCAAAAATGGCTTCCTCCAGGCTCTGGAGATCCACCAGAAGCCGGAAACAGGAAGTTCTAGTAGGCCATGCCCACCATGGCCACGCCCATCCAGCAACTGGGCAGCGAACTGGTTGCTGGGATTTTTGAATCCTACTTTGGTCTTCAGGGTTCGTCCAAAATTACCTAGAATGTTTCTGAACTGTGACCTCACCTATGCTAATGGGCTGTTCTTTCTGCCTGCCCTTGCCACTAGCTATACCTGTTCCCAGATTTAAGACAAGCATCCCGAGAACATGCTTAGGCAAATGGCAAAATCATTGAGAGAATCTGACTGAAACAAGAAGGAGAGTGTCCAGTCTTTTAGAACCAGAAGAGGTGGTGATTGCTTTTTTTAGATAATAAAATTATTGAAGCTTAGAATTACGATTTTTTAAAGAAAAAGCTAACATAGTTAGAGTAAAAAGTAAAAGTAAAAATAGTAAAATGAGAAAATTCAAATATCTCAAAATATTTTACAACATTTTTAAAATATGAAAAAGTTGAAATAGATATCAGTAAACCCAAAGACAACCATTCAAAATAACCACATATCACACCTTACCCTGGTGTAATAAACTCTATTTCTTTTTTAAGTATACAGAACAATCCTTCTCTGTAATCTATTCAGATGGTTATTGATCATTGCTACAAATTTCTTCAATACACTCTTTCATAAATCCAGCACAAAAAAAACCCCAATTGTACTCTGAGATTTTCATTATTATTTCCTTCTTAATTTAATAGTGTTTGTAGTCTTGTCTCTTTGAAGGTGTCTAACTTCTATGAAAGGGTTAATAGACAATATCCAAAGTGGTTAGCAAGGGAACTACAAACTTAACATCTTGTGAAAGACTCAATTTGTAGCTGGAGCCAATACATTGAATAACCTTGTCTCCCAATTTCACCCCCCCACCACACTCATTATTTTAATGTGAGGAGCAACTATCAGGAGAAACAGCTTAGGCAATCTTGAGAGAGTTGTAGGAAGCAACCTACTAAGCAACTCTTTATTTTGTGGAGCTGTCTTCAGTTGGATAGCTTCAGTGGTGGGATTCAAATTTTTTTACTACCGGTTCTGTGGGTGTGGCTTGGTGGGTGTGGCAGGGGAAGGATACTGTAAAATCTCCAGTTAGAGGTTGGATTTGCCGGTTCTCTGAACTACTCATAATTTCCTCTACCGGTTCTCTAGAACTGGTCAGAACCTGCTGAATATCACCTCTGGATAGCTTCCCTGGAAGTGTTGTCTGTTGATTCAATCTTAGGTTATTCTTTCTTTAAAAATTAAACAACAGAATGGGTTTTGCAACCTTCAACAAAAGTTTGTGTCTTTCTTTTTTCTGAGATAATGCCTTATATTTCTGTAGCATAAATAATATGGATATTTATTTGACTGATTGATAAAACTGTCCTTCTCAGTGAGTCACTAATTAATTAATTGTCAATAAATTAATTATCTTCTTCATTTTGTATGTGTGTGTGCAGGGAAGAGAGCATGTCCAGGAGAGGCTTTGGCAGATATGGAAATCTTCCTGGTCCTCGCCATTCTGCTCCAGCATTTCACTTTTGAATTGACAATGGACCCTGAAGAGATGGACTTAAAAGACTTGCTTACAGGCTCTAGGAAGAACGGAAAGTATCGCTACTTACGGGCCATCAAACGTAAAATTTAATAAGCAACAGAAATAAATATTGTTTCAACTTTCATCAGCCCAAACCTATATCATCAGCCCAAACCCCAAAATACTTGTGGCAAGAATTTATAAATTTATATAACAGTGTTAGAAATATTGTACAGGGAATCATATGTGAGCTTACCCAGGTCTCCAACAAATGAACCATTTGATTAATGAAACAAAATTGCAAACATTGCATGGAAAAGCTGGCAAGCGATAAGAACAAAATCATTTAAACTCACAGCAAAGATACAAATTAATTAAACATTTATTTCAAATTGTAAACACACACAAAATTCAATTAACATAATGTAAATATAATTGTAACACTCAACAGTTCAACCAAGAGACTCAATCTACATTGCTTGATGTCACATAATAAAAGTAGCAGCGTATACACCCACCCACTCAAACTTGTGGACTAGTTCCTTATAAAACAACCTCTCTGTTCTCCATTTTCTCTGTAGCAGAGGTGGTATTTAGCAGATTCTGACCAGTTCTTGAGAACCCCAAGTTATTCTTCTGACAGACTTCAAATAACTTTTTGAATTTAATTACAAGAATATTTCCTGTGAGTTGTTCAAAAACAAAAAATTGAGGGGAGCCGCACCTCCCCTCCCTGGCTAGATATACTTCCCTTGAAGACAGGAGGTAGCAGTCTGCCCTGAAAATGGGAAGCTACCTGGGACCTAAGTGAGTGCTGGAGCAGTGAAGTGGTGAGTGACTCGTTGACCAGGCAAAATACCTGGGATTTTTGCAAGATAACCCTGAGAAATAAAAGGAAAGAACTCTCACTTAAAATCGTGGCAGCGGCAAATGGAAAGGAAGAGGAAATTATAAGGTAAACAAAATTGAACTATAAAAGAACTATAATGGAATCAGAGACTAATTTTGGAATAAAGTACAGAAATTGGCATTAATCAGGCATTGGCTAGAATGCTGGACTTGTTGGAATTGATTATATTTTAAGATACAATAGCTAATGATTGAAAATTAGTGGAATAAATATAAGCGAAAAGAAAAAGGAAATAAAAGAACTTTAAAAAGTGGAAAGTGATGCCTCTTAATCTCCACCCTCTTGATCTCCACCCTCTTCTGTATTCCTCTTTTCTGTTGCTTTCTGACATTGTATCTATTTTTCACCTTATTTTTCCCTTTTTTGGTTGTTTTTTAAGTCTTAAATTCTCCATTCTCTTTTCCCTCTTTCCCTTTTCTTCCGTTGCTTGTTCGTTAAAGATGGCTTCTTCTTCATCCCAATCTTCTTGTTCTTGTAGTTTCTGATAAGTAGAAATCGCCATTTCTAAGAAATGAAAAACAGAGCCAGAAGAGCCCTTCCCTTCTTGTTCCTCTTCTTTTAACTTTTTGAATTCCATTTTCAGTTCATCGACAAGTAATGCCATTGTGAAAAATATTAAAACAACCCAAATGTTTTTAGCCTTTCAAATAATAATTTCCAAAAGTTCCAAAGTCACCAAGCAATCCAAATACACACAGACTGTTTCATTTAATACTTTCTTCTTTTTACACTTTCTCTTCCTGGGGTTACAGTTCAGTTGCAAAGTTCCAATTAAAATGTATCTTTTAGAAGTCTTGTTACAATTTAGCTCTAGTCTTATAAATTCCAAGCAGCCTCCTCCAGCAAAATCTTAATATTAATTCTTTTCCTCTCCCTTCCCACTTATAGCAGAAAAAAATTTTTTTCCCCAATGTTCAGAAATCTTTATTGTCCCCTTGGCTTTAATTTTCCAGTTTAATTACCTGCTGATGCCAAAACGGGTTTTTCTGATTTCTCTTTCATCTGCTATCACCGTAAGGAAGGAGAGTGAGAAAAAACAAACTTTCCCTTTTTACTTTCATTCGCTGCTTTTTTCAAGCCTTCTTTGGGAATGATATCTTTAATGAAATTTAAATTCCAGGGTATTTAAATGTTACTTGTTATCCCAGTCAGCCAACACTTTCACTTCTCAGCTTCCTCCTGCACATTCTTATCCAGATGAGAACTTCTTTGTGGCGGCCATTGCTGACTGCCGCTCCACCGCTTTCGGAAAAGGGAGTTAAGCCAGCTGAGGAGGGGGGTTGTGATTCCCCGGACCCCTGCCAGGTCTCCCCTATCTTCAGTTACCTCTACAGGGTAACTATAGCCTGAAAATCGGCTGGATCGGGGCACTCCAGCGGCGAGCACAGCAGAAACCGCGCATGATCGTGGATTCCTGCTGCCACCGAAGCCCAGCAAACCGGAAGGGGGTAAAGAGGCTAGATTGGAGAAGAAAGGAAGGGAAAAAGGCAAGAGAAGTTACAAAAGTTTGAAACAAGATGTAAAGAAACAGGATTTATTTAGAGATAATGGGTAAAAATATAATTAAAAAATAGATTCTGCAAAGTACATAAGATTGTATTGTTGTATTTGTATTTGAAATAATGTTAGAAAACTGGAACATTATATGATTATAAAATGGGATAAAATATTAAAAGGAATGTATAAAATGTTTAAGACTTAACGATAGAGTTTAATTTTCTATGTATTATTGTTTTAATTATATTATAAACTTATTATTTTTTCTTATTTTAAAATATAGTACGTAGTTTTAGAATGTACTAAGCAGAATCCGAATGAAAATTATATATTATTTTAAGTGTTAAATTTAGGGGAAAGATATAAAGGCGTCATACTTCAGTCAGTGATTACAGGAGAAATTTTGTGTTAATGAGAAAAGATAATAGATAATTGAAACAGAACAGACAAAAGATATAAGCATAATGATTTAAAGTGAGATGAAATAAATAAAACAGAATTAAGAGAGTGAAAAGAGAGAAGCTATATAGAAAATGTAGAATGGTAAATAAGATATGAAATGGTATATAAAGTAAGCATGAATTTGAATTTATGTCTGTACAAAAAGATGTAACCCGGGATTAAGCCGCTTTCCAAAAAGAAGTTTTATATTTTCATGTTTTGTGT